AAAACGTGCTTATGACGCTTCAGTGGGGGGCGAATTTTTCTGGGGGGGTGGGACGCTTTGCGCGAATGCGTGCGCTCTCTTAAATGAATTATGAATAAGGTAATCTTTTTTTTCGTGCCGCTGACTTGAGGGCCACGTTGGCAACTAATTTCGACCTTGCATACAATTTTAATTAAGTTTTTTTTCTGTTCATGTGCACATGGTTATACATTATTTTTTATATATATCATATAGCATAAAGAAGAGGCAGCACCAGAAACAGAAGGGTGTCGACAGCACCGCTGATGACAATGATAATTTTCAAGCTAAAGGTAATTTTCGTATTATGTTTTACGTGTTGACTTTAACTTGAACCATAAAAGGTGGACAAGGAAACTCTTGTAATTGATCAAGTTTAACTTGGAAATCAGGGGGTTTTGTTTTAAAGCTCTGTATTCCTGGATTTCAGATAAATTGTGAAGCTATTCTAAACTTCCTCCTATTAAGTCCCTAACTCTTCTTGAGTCAAACACCTTGTTCTCCACTAGCTCCTCTTCCTTCATTCATCCTCCCTCTATGTGCTCCGTTTTCTTTAACTCTTTTTACATTTTCTTCTCTTCACTTCGATCGCCGTTGCATATTTTCAATTTTTTGCATTTTCAACATAAATTAGCCGTCTCCCAGTGACCCCCAACACAAGTTCCTCCCCTCTTATCAACTCGATCGCTTCTCTCCGCTCTTCTCAGCCAGAAATAGACATTGGTTAGGCCAAGAAGAGCAAAATTCCTGGCGAAAGGAACGTGGACAAAACAGGCATTGGAAAAAAGTGAAGCGTTAATAAAACGGCACAAAAGGAACACACAGCAAACAAACAACGGGTTAAAAGGGGGCGCGAGGCGAAGGAGCCCACGGGGCGTGGCAGGGACCAAATGGAGTCTGCAAAAGATGTAACCAAAGTATAGGCCCACGATCGTCATCATCGCCATGGTCATCATCATTATTGCGTTGCAAAGGAACCCAAAGAAGCTGGTGAGTAAAGAGTGATCAGAGAAGATCTGGTAAGTTTTAAAGAAAAAAAGGGGAAGAAGAGCTCAGATTCGCCTTCGTTTTCTGCACTCGGCAAACAGCGAAAAGAAAAATGTTTTCTTGTGCCTTTAGAACCAGATATACCTTTATGAAAAGGTTTTTTAAAAATTCGATTACAAACTGACAAGAAACATTAAAATCTGAATAATACTTTTTAAAAACGGATGCAGTTTTTTCTTCAATTCCATTATAAAGTTCTAGTCATTTGGTCAAGTTATGGGACCTTGAAGTCAAGATTGGTGTCACCATATGGTGACATTTTTCACCAATGAAAAATTTGGAAATATTTCTTATTCCAATAAATATGAAAATTAATTTCAATTACGGTTAAATCTAACGGTCTTTCAGATATATCCAAATTGTAAACGTCTTCCTACTATACCATATGTCCCATTTACTGGGTATCAAAAAAGCGAGCAGCATAAACAACGGATAGCCTGTCGGACCATGTTTCCATGTGTGTGGGGTTTTGGGCGTTGGGATTGGTACTGCAAGAACTTCTTCTTCTCCAGCGGCTTCTTCCTCTTTTTCATGTGCTTCCTCTGCTTTGGTCGCGTCTTCAATTGCCGTTGTTGTTGTTGTTGCTGTTAATGCTGGCTGTTGTTGTTGTCAGGCGTGTGCGGTGCGCGTTGAATCCGCTATAACAGTGTTAGTACGTTAGTAGGTATACAAACAGGTAAAACAGGTATTCCCAGCCGCTCTGCCACGCTCATCATGATCACAGTGATGATCATGTTCTTTTGCTGCTGCTGCTGCTGTTGCTTTTGCTCTTCTACCACCACAATGGGCTGGCTGGCTGCTTTTTACTTCACTTGAAGCATTATTTTAGCGAGTCACCGTCGATGACGACAATTGAGCAAATAAAGATAAAAACAAAAAAGGTACAAGAAAAATTTATAGAGTCCCAGGAACAAACTGTTGCTAGAAAAATAATAGCTTGAAATTTTGTTTATTTATTATTTTTTTTTTTTTTTATGATCTCGCACTAATTATTAAGTAAAATTATTTTCGACTTTGCAGTTCCATTTAATAAAAAGCAAATTTAGAATAGTTAAGCTTGTTTCGGTCAACATAATTAACAACTAGTTAGAAAATCTTAAAAATGTAATAATAAATCAAGAAGAAGGTTATTTCCTTTGGTGTACGAAACCACTACACAATGGCAAGAACAAGAAGCCAAGAAAGAGTGAGTGAGAGGGAAAGATACAAGCGCATTGAGGCCCAAAGGAACACATTCTTAAACACAGCAATTACCCAGCGAAAGGGGTGATGGGCAGAGAAGGAGGTTGGGGCAGAAGATGCAGACAGTAGAAACGAGAATATTCTGCTGGCTCTGTGGGCCCTCTTCTGCGCCCATCCAACGGCCCCGCCGCCTGCAAACCCCAACAAAACCCCACCCAACTAACCAAGAACCCAACTACCAAAGCCAAAGTCAAGGCATTAACAGCCCAGTGAACACACTCACACACTGGCTATGTGCAATATCTCACACACAGGCGCACATCTATATCTATATACATATAGAACAAAAAATATATATAGATCTGGCAAGTGGTGTTGTTCTTTGGTGGCCTAGGTCTGGGCCAACAACAATAAGCAACGCGATTCTCTTTGGTTTCGCAATCAAGAACTTGAGATTCGCTTTTGGTTAGAAATCTTGATCCACTATATAATCTATATAATACTGCCTATTATGTCCCAACTTGCAAAGTAGTTCTGAAAAGTACAAATAAAAGTATCTCAGTCAATGCGTAATATAAATCAAAACATTACAAATATAATTGTAACGAAATCATCTTTGAACAAATTATAAACAAGTACAAATACTAGCAAATTAATTTAGTTTGCTATCTAGGTAAGAAAGCAATAATACAAAATGAATCCCCAAAAGAAAAAAATTATAAAATGTTTAATACAATTTTTCAGGGGCAAGAAATCAGTGTATATATTTCGGTTCTGGGCCAGAACACTTGCATTTTGGCCAGCAAGCGGCTTTTTGAGTGAGAGTGAAGTTGGTGCAGGAACAATGCAGCAAAAGCAACAACAACCACACAGGGAGATGTTTTCAGAAGGCTCCAACGAACGAGAATAAGAAGAAGAACCATAGAAAAACCTCTGCTAACGTCAACATCACGACATTAACATTGCCGCTGCCTCAACGGCAAAGTCACAGTCAAAGCCAAAGTTACCAACAGGTTTCTTAGCTGTCTCTTCGGCCTCTGATTCTCCAAGTCGCTTCAGCTCAAATTCTCTCACGATACACATCGATACACAGAAAAAAATATGAGTATGGAATACTGATCCATTTCATGTTTTCAAATACTACAAATCATTTTTTTGTAACTCACGTTGGATTTGAAAGAAAATGAATTTGTCAATTCATTTTTATTGCAATAAAAGTGTTACTTACGAGTCGCTTTGGTCGCTTTTTTTCACATCTAAAAAAAAGTCACCTTTTCTTCAGGTGCATCTTTCTCACCTGCGAAAGAGGCTTCGTTTTCAGCTTCGGCTATGAGTTCGCCTTCGTTTTTAACTTCGGCATTTCGATCTCTCTCACCTTTTCGCTCTCTCGTCGCACACCAGCTCAAAGTTAGCTGTAAATTTGTTACGTCGCCGCAGAAGAGCTTGTGCATGCGCTAGTGAGTGTGATCACACAGGTGTGTGATGCTCCGAATTCGCCGTCGCTTACATCACTTGCTCTAAATGTGTATGTGTGTGGAATAACGTTAGTTATCCGTTGGCAGCGCACCTGTGCGGGTTAAAAAGGGATGGAGCTAGCGCCAACCTCTCTCGTTGACTCTTGTGTCTCCCTCTTTCGCTCTCAATCTTATTTGCCATTCTAAGCGCATTCTAAGCGATTTTCGGCATTCTCTTGGAAACACACATATGAAGACACGGGGATTAGGGGATAGAGAGAGCAGGTGGAAGAGAGAGCAAGACGCACACCTGAGAGCGAGAAATGCCTGCGTTGCCAACTATTTTGCCGTTTAATTTCGCTTATATGGGTACTTTTTTTCATTTTACTTGCCGCTGAAGTTGCTTCTTTTTATTCGGCTTGTTATTTCTTATTGTATTTACCACGACTCTCTTCACTTCGATTTACACTAACACAAAAACAAACGATAATGATGATGAAATTCTTAAAGGGCCGCGAAATACAAACTATTTGAATCCTTATCCTTTTCTGTCAAGCATTCTTCTTTTTTCGTTTCTTGCAATTTAAGACGAAAAATCAAAAGACTTAGGAAACGAACTTGGACAAATATTTGAATACAACTCTGTAAGTTCAAGGGGATAATGAAAATAATTCAAACGTATCTAAATCTGAATTTAATTTGCGGATAAGTGAAAAAAAATCTATATCGGTAAAATATTTCTATGACATAGTGTAACCAACAACGGAAGCCCCCAATATACATAGCTAAACATAATTTTTCTAATTCCTCAATTCATTTGCTAATTAACTTTAAATACAATAAGTACAGCTCCTGGGTTAAAGTAATAACCATCTCAACCGGCAAATAGGCAAGGCGAAAAACCCAGCGATCTTGATCATGATCGTGATCATCATTATGATTACTACCTTGACTCTGAGGAGTGAAAGAGAGGGAAAGAGAGACAGGGAGAGCGAGAAACTGCATGAGAAACGTTATGTGAGCGAAATGAGGCAACGCACAGCACACAAAACACTCTCACTCTCTCTCACACAGGTGCGCTTGCTTCGCCGCGTTTTTTTCTCACCTGGACATCGGCGAATATCTCGTTATTTTCCGACTCATACGAAAGCGAAGTTTCGCTCTCTTTCGTTCTCCCGACTTACGGTGTTTTGAATTCGCCGTCTAACTGAGTTTGTTGTAGCGGCGAGATCCACTGGCGGACCCGACGAGACTACCTTATACTTATTCTGCCATGGTTTGGCCTAACTGACTACCTCGAATACAGTAAGTAGCGAGCCGGCGATGTGAATGCACGTGTTTTCGCTTCAACTCACCTGGGCGAACCCAAGAAACCAAAGCAACAGCAAAACACACAAATATCAATTTTATAAATACGAAAACACTGTGTTGTGCATACTAAATACACAGATTTACAACAAAACAGAAACAAATTTTTTTTAAGTAATATTTTTTACAAGTGCGCCGAAAAAAGAACAAGACCCGAAAAAGTGTTTGAGAACCCTAAACAATTGAAGAAGCCACATCTTTCTCAGCACTTACGAAAAACAAATGAAAAACTAAATCAAAATCTTTTACAACGAAAATCCGACACTGCTGAATGGCAATTTTTTTAAAGTACGTTTTTTAGGAAAAAAATTCCTTAAAAAATAAAAAACCAAAAACAGAACCTCCAACACAAACTATCTTTCTGATTGACTACTTTTAATTTAAAAAAAAAAAAAAGGAACAACTTCCAAGACATGAAGAGGGCCAAACAAAAGTTGGCTTGAGCTCGGCTCATGAAAAAACTAAAACTGAAATCAAAAATTTTTTTTTTTGAAGCAGTGGACGAGCGGCGGACAAACATACACACACAATTGGATTAGTGTTTTGTTTATTTCGGACCCACTGTGACTGTCCCTCGTCCACCCGTCGAAAAACAAAATCTCAATCTCGCCGACTCCTTGAAATCGTCGCGTGTCGCTGTCGCGTTTCGTTTCCGTTGATCGCTAATCGTTTATCGTTGATCGCATCGCATCCATCATGCCGAAGATATTCCTGATCAAGAATCGCTTGCACCAGCAGCAACAACGTTTGCTCGAATCGCAGAATTTGCTGCAGCACAAGAACCAGGATGACGAGCGCTTGGTGCCACCTCTCAGTCCCAGTCCCAGTGGCAGTGCCAGCGGCCCCTCGCCTTCCCCGACGCCGACGCCCACGCCCACCGCCCAGCCTCCACCGGAACCACAAGGTCAGGGGCAACAGGTGCTCGGACAGGTGCCGCCCGATCCAGATCAGCAGCCGCTGAGCCTCACGCGCAAGCGATTCCACCACCGCCGCCACTATTTCGGACAATCGCGCCACAGTCTCGAACACCTTAATCAAAATCAAAATCAAAATCAGAACCCGAACACCAATCCAACACAAAATCGAGCAGAATTGGAAGTCGAAAATGCTACAGGCCAAGTTCAAAATGGTAAGTTGAGATTCACTGTAACACAAACAATTTAAGTATAAAAAAAACCATGCAATCAGAACTTTCACGATGGCTAAGGGAAGAATTCTCGAAGAATCTAAGGAACCAATGTTTATAGATTAGCTATAAACAACAGTATTTTTCAAGACAACATTTCCTTTACACAAATAATTCCTGTCTTTTAGTAAAACAAATATCGTTACTTTAAAAGCTCACCAACGATATAAAAAATCCGTTTGAAATGAAATTCGAAAAAATGCAAAAGACAAGAACGTAATAAACAATCCGTTTGGAATTCTTCCAGCGAAAAAAATCACAGAACAAGAAAGGAATTTTAATTTACTTAGATAAATAATTGCTACAAATCTGTCAGTCAGTCTTTTGGCCCGATGGCAAATCGGCAAGAAATACAAACAGCCATATCGATTGCCTGGAAATCTTTTCAAATTTCAAGCTTCACTTTTGGGCAGCTTTTGTTATTTGTTTTAGTTTTTTTTCGCCCACACCATGACGAACTCGTCCCCAGTGTATCTTTGTTTCTTTGCACTGTCTATCTTCCATTCTCCAAGCGGAGCTATGGGTTTACTTCGACATCAATCACTTTCATTGAATTTCGTAAGCGTTCTTATTTTGATTTTTTTTTTTTTGACGGTCTTTTTTTTTGGCCAAAGCCCAAGCCCAGAGTTCTCCAGTCTGTGTCCGTAGTGGTCTCCGTTCTGTTTTCATTTTCCTTTTTTTCTGTTTCTGTTATATAATCGCCCAGCATGCTTATTAAGTCATTTCGATTTTCGGTTTAGGCGGTGGTCTTAGGTTAAAGGTTTTACATTTTCATAAATGATTATGCGAGGAGAACTTTCTTTGATTCGGGGCGGGTTTATTAATTAAATTCTTTTCGATTTTATTTGAAAGTGAATTTTGTTCTGCGTTCTTTCAAGTTATATTCCGCTCAAGACTTTTGTTTCTAAGCTTTTTTAACTGCCCTTTGTCTGGCCTTAATTATATCTACATTTTTTTTTCAACCATAGCTCGGCTTCACTTCAGCAGAATCGTCTCTCGCACGCAGCCTCATAATTTTGCCCCTTACACGGGCATTATATTTCATGGTTATAGCTTATATATATATTATTTCCATGGAGCGTAGAGTGCTATATACATTTATTAAATTAAATAACACGTTGCGTTCTCGGTTCCTCCTGTTTATCGCCAACCATGCTCCCTTCTTCTTTTTCTCTATCGTCCGACTATCCACTTAAAAATGTATTATGAACGCTTCCGCTGTTTAATTTTTATGATTTCTACGGATATCGTAATGGAAGCTATTTGAAGGGAAATCGTTTCGCAACCCTATATACTCATAGGAAAATAGCAAAATTGCTTAGATGATCACATCTTCTTACGGGAAGCTGTCTTTATTGCCTGATTTCTACGTAAAATATTTATTACATTTCTTGGACTTTGTTATTTTAATAACAATGGTAATTCTTAGGAAACGTTTCATATAGTAAAACTTATTGTTAACTTTTGTCTTCTTCAGATTTACCTATTTTGTTCTTAAAATTTAACTCCCATTGCCATCTTGAGTTCTCAAACTGTTCTGAGTTTGAAAACCTCTCTGGTCACACTGCATGTTCACTTTTTTGTTCAATTACCGCTTACGGTTCGTGTTTTCCTACCTTTACTGGGCTTTGCCCATGGCCAAGAACTTCACACACTTGAGCGCACACTCACACACTCGAGCGAAACAAGAACGAAACGAAAGAAACAAAATTATATAACTGGCAAAGTACAAGGTACTAAAAGCCAGCTAGAAAAAAATCTCCTCTCGACCAGGCAAAAGTACAAGTTTTGCCAGAAGATGAAGTTCCAAAGCCAAAGCCGAAGCCGAAGCCAAACCCCAAAGAAGCGAAAAGAGTGTAGAGCGGAAAAAGAACTCTTTTTTCGCAGCCTAGACTTGCGCTAAAGTTCGTACTACACACAATGACTAAGATGATCATCATGATCATGAGAGCCAAGTTCAACTGGGGAGGAGGTGGTAGCGGAGGAGGAGGAGGAGGAGGAGGAGGAGGAGTTGGATGAGGACGTTGGGTGGGGTGCATTGTAGGCATGTCGTCTGCCATTTGGCCTAAGCAAAGTCAAGGCAACTGGCCATAATAAAACTTGTAGAACCAGTCGAAATGACTCGGGAGAAGAAACCCACCAGAAGAGGCAGAAAAGGCAAAAGAACCGAGCTTGTGAAATGCTAAAGGGCCTTGGAGGATGAACATTGATAAAGGGAAAAATCGAGGCAAAGGCAACCGAGAGAGAGATGCCTGAGAAAACCAAAGAACTGAACTTCTTGCATACATGGGCATGAATTCCTCCTAGCTTTTTTTTGCAGCCCTCCACAGCTGGAAGTTATGAGCATAACTTCCTGTTACATTTTCTCTATCTGCAGGCAACGATCTTTATGCCGCGAATTTCTCTGTCCCGCTAGTAAAAGTCAATAAATAACCGAAAGGAAATTCATTGATCGACCGATCGAACGATAAAGAAATTTCCAAAAAAAAAAAAAAAAAAAAAAGAAGAAAAGAAAAGGAAAAAACCTAAGGGAGAAGAAAGGAGCATGGAGCGATCCATGCAAATTCAGCAGCTGTTAGAACTGCAACTTCAATTGCACACGCAGCTTACACGCAGATGGTGCAATCCTCGAGCGGAAGTTAGCGAAAGGTTCCCTTAAAGACCTCGCGACCCTTCTCCAGAGACAAGTTCAGCGAACCCTCGGCAAACAACACTCACCGTCTCAAAAACAGACGACGAGTCAAAAGCAAAAGTCAAGTGGTAAATGAGGTAAATGGTAAATGCAAAAAGAGAAAGACAAGGGGGCAACGGAAAACAAAGCCCAAAACCCATTACCTCATAGTGCTAGTGCGAGTGCTCAGGCGCGCAGAGATTTTCTTTGGAAATCAAATCAACTCTATTGTTTATTCAATTAAGTCCGATTGATCCCAGTCTCTTCGCTCGGAGATCTTTAACTAATTGGAGTTGAAAATGGGCATCTCTAGTTGATTGGGCATATGTAAATGGGTTGCATTGATTAATTTAGCTTCATATTGGCAGACCTCCCCAGTTGAGATGTTCTACGCTCTTAAAGATTGTAGGGAAGTAAATAAGGCAATCACAACACCAAAACTTTAATATTGTACTATTATTATTTGGGTATTAAAAGAATACTAAAGAGCGTTACAAAAAAAAAAAGAAAAAGTTCACAAATTTTGTATCGATAAAGTTTTAAAATATCATTAATTTCCAAATTATCCGCGAACTTCAGTCGCGCTGTAATCAAAAGACTTAGGCAACGAACTTGATTTCTCCAATAGGCACTAAAAATGTGTTCTTTTCGCCTCGTTTGTTTTTTCCTTTTCCTCTCGCATTATATTTTTTTGGCATTAGTTTTACCTGCCGAAAAGACTGATAAAACAATGTGCACTATGTATGGATGAGTGTAGATCTACCTGTTTCGAGGGTTTTTTTAATCTCGCAACCAAAAACGATATTTGACAATCGGAAAGAAGAGAGAAAAGCGAAAAAGGGCAGCCAGAGAATCCTGCACACCTTCGATAACATTCAAACCCGAGATTTATTTGTGCAGTGAATCAACAAACAAGAATACACAGCACAAAGGAAACGGGAGAGAGAAGCGCAGAGAGAGAAAGAAAGAGAGACTCGAAAAAACAGGTCTCAAGTGCTGTCAACCGAGAAGAAGAAGCAACAGCGGCAGCAGCAGCAAGAAGAAGTAAAAGCAAAGAACGTAGAATATACATTTGAAAAAAAAAGGAAGCGAGTTCTTGTCCGCCTTTGCTGGGTGTTTTTCTTTCTTTTTTTTTCTCTCTTCTGCCTTTTTTTGGTATGCAGTTGAAGAAGAACAAGATGAATAAGAAGGAGCGATGTAGAAGAAAGAACGAAAGACAGCAGACAGATATATATATATATATATTATATATATATGTACATGATTATGAGCAATGATCAGCGCAATGATGATGATGATGACGGTGCGATGGTGCGTGTATTTTCTTTGTCCTTGTCTCTGTCCCCCTCAATATCTATTTATCTCCCTTTGTTCTTCTGGCATGAAAATGCAATCTTTTACCATGGGCTGCAACTATTTCTAATTGAATTACCTTTTGATATGGATAGGCAATGATAAAATCAATGTAAACAGTCGAAGTGAAGTAGGAAAAAAACAGAATAAACAAAAATCAATAAGAAAACAATAGGAGCAACAATTTTTAATCCGATCAATATAAGCTCCAAAAATACATTTGGAATAAAGGATTCGAATTAACAGTTGGCGAGTGAAAACAAATAAATTACTAAATGTATGCGGGACTTTTGTCTCTGATTTCGTTAATATCTGATTGTTACCCCTCCTCTCTTTTTATTAATTTTGTGCAATCGCACAAATGTCAATAACTTGTAAATCGCTTTAGCTGCGAATTTCTTATAATTTTCGCAAAATATTATTATCAACTTTTATGCGGCCGAAAAGGGGAAACTTGTTTCGTTTGAAATTTTTGGGTATATTTTTAATTTTTTGTATGATTTTTTTTCTTTATTGTTTTAAACACGTTTTTATAACATTTGTAATCAAAGCAGCAAAAGCACAGGCCACAATTAATATAGAACTCGTTTTCATTCTCGTTGGATGTTAACAACAGCAACAACAAAAAGTTAACTGTTTTTTTGTGAAATATTTGCGTTTTTGTTGGCAGAAGATCAGCGAAAAAAACACGTTTCGGTCCGGCCAAAAACCACAAAAGGCGCGAGAGGCAGCGAAACGGTTTTTATTTGCTCTAACCGAAAATAAACATGTTAAAAAAAAAATTAATGACGAGGTGTGTTGGGGGTGTAATTCGATAGGTATAGATATTATTCCAATGGCAAATCATTTTCAAGTGTGCGAATTTATCTGACATAACTTCCAATTAAATCAGGCTTAAATAGTTAACATTTCATAGTAA